ATTTCGATGTGGAGTTCTATCTAAAAAGTTAAGATGCCCCAAATAATTATATTCCCTTTAAAGTTTTTGAGTTAACATATCAATAGAAATTTATTATCACAATACTGATAACATAAAGAAAACTATTCTAAATTAGCGTAAACAAACTACTTCAAATTTCAAATGTATGTAATTCTTCTTTTAAAGATTTATATATATTTACAATTAATATAATATTAGATATGTCTGGTGAGGAACATTAAAAGTAGCATTTTTTATTTATGCTGAGAATCCTCCATTAATATTCATTACACTACATGAATCATATCTCAAATAGTATTTTTACAACCATTTTTGAGAATATTAGTGAGATATGAGTTATAAGTTAGCAATGAAATATATATGTTTTTTTTTTAATCCAGCCAACGAAACCTGAGAAGAAAATTCCATGAATGGAATATTTTATTACGACATTAAAAAGTGGGGAAAAGTCGAGAATCCTTTCTATGAAGGCCAGAAATTACTACTTTTAACACTTTCTTTGCCTCTAAAAGTCTTTACTTTTTGAGCCTCTTGCTCATGGTCACTGTTCAGAGGAGGGAAATTTCAGGACCCGTTAAACTTTAGAACGACGTTATTCCTTATTTATTAGGACTCATAAATTGAGACAAGTTAAATCGTTAACTTCTGAAAGGGGTTGAGTGCATTTTAGGAGTGAATTATGGGAAAAAGACGTTGGTTTTTAGTCTATTTAGGAAAAAAAAGATGAAACAAAAATGTATATTAGCCTTATTTTTATCCCAATGAGAGGAAAGCGAAATAAATAAATTTCCTTTATGACAAGTTTTCCTACTTTTCGAATAATTACTTTTTGCAATTTCTGAAATTATTTTTTTTTCTCAAATTAGATGTCTGATAAAAAGAATTAAGTATTTGCGGGAAATAATTAAATGTATAATATTATATCTTGTTGTGAGGAAATAAATATATGTAGCTATATCAGTTTTCTAACATTTTATACGAGATATTTTATTACATATTTAATAAGTCGTGAAAATAAATGAACTGTAAAGCAAAAGTTTGGCATGAAAAATATGTATAAAGTAACATAAATTTTATACTTGGTTGCTATTTAAATTTTTTGTTTTTAACTGCTATATATATTTGTCTTCGTTTTTAATCAATGGAGCCAAAATAAAAACAATGATTTTTTTTTCTTTTCTTTCTTTTTTTTGTAATAATTTAATTTAATATTATAGTTTTTACGAAATAATATTATTTTTATAACTAGCTGTTCTGTGAAATAAGCTTTTTTTTTAAAAAAATAAAACTCTTTTTTTTTGGTAACAAATCCGATTTAATTAATTACAATTTAAATATTATTATGCAAACTCTAGCTCCAATAATTTGTAATATTTCCTCTTTCAAATATTAAAGAAAAATAAAATTTTGCATGGAACACAGACAGAAACTCGTAAAATCCGACTATAACACGCACTTTTAACACAAAATATAACATCAAAATTTACAGGTGCTCGTTATACGCCGGGAATAAAAATGAGAACATTAAAAATAAAACAAAAATAAAGAGATGAGCATAGAAAAAAAGTAGACTCCTACATTATAGTATTTAAAAGAAATAATAGTCCTTATGAACTTAAAGGGCTCTAATTCTAGAAGTATACTATTTTTTTAAGGCTTGGAATAATACCTCAAATAAATGACTTCAAAGGATAAAATTATTTCTCACGTACATTTCAAGTTTATTCGTAAGAAAGAGGGTACGAGTTATACGGTGAATATACCTAAAAATTCGAAATTGAGGTAATAAAGGTGATTGAAATAAAGGTGTGTGTTATACTCCGGGTTTTATGGTAGTTAAGAATACTGAAATTTGTTGTATTTTTTATCATCCTCTAGTTCGTTTATTTTTACAATATTTCTTAAATTAATATACATACCATTACTGAAGTATTTGCATATTTATTATATGTATATATTAGCAAAATAAAATGGACTTCATTGATTGATTAAAAATAATCACTGCGATTAAATAAAAAAAGTGTGTGTGTGCTTATGTACGCACGTAAGAAGTTAGTCTTCTTTGGCGTATCAAGATAAAAATCTTTAGCAGGGCAAGCTGGGCCAAGGATGAAAGGCGGTCACGAGCAGAGTTGAACGATACTAACCTTCAGTCAATCGGAACAGCCAAACCTGAGATAATCACGATTTAAATAAATTTAAACACCCCCGCACAGGGACAATAGGACCAATAATATGGGGAGGGGGTCGGAGGCGGGAATGATCTGTCCCGTTCTGTATATTTCTAGACAAAGCATTTTCGTATTCGTTCCTACGGAACGCAAAGCTAAAGTTCGCTGACGCGGGGGTATAGCTCAGTGGTAGAGTATTCGACTGGAGATCGAGAAATCCCCGGTTCAAACCTGGGTGCCCCCTTCTTCAGGGAAGTGAAGAGAAATATTTTTCTGAGAATTTTGAAGGCGGGAATGATTTGTGCCGTTCTGTATATTCCTGGACAAAGCAGTTTCGCATCCGTGATGGTTTTGCGTCACATCCGTGACGGGCTGTGCGCGCATTGTAAAAATTTACCCTCATCCTATTTAACTAACTCCCCAAAAGAAGTATAACTTCAAAAATGCTTCAACTATTATCAACCCATGAAAAAAAAACTCTAAAACTACCGAATGAGTTAACGTATATATATACCTAAAAACACAATCGAAAATTATTTTTTAACTTTTACAAAATGGTATTTACCAAACATGATGCAAAAATATGTTATACAAATAATTTAAATCTGAATGAATTCCATTATTTCAAGAACGACATGTATATATATTTTTTTTAATTTTATTTTTATAATTACTAGATTTACTCAATAAACAAATAAAAAAACTTGGATATTCTTTTCTGTAAAAGATTGGAAACTGAAAAATCAGTAATATGTGTTTCGTTAAAAATCAAATGATTGAAAATGATAAAAAATTCATTCATAAAAAGTTTTTACAAATATAGACCTTCTAACGAAAAATTTGATAAATAATTTAAAATATTAAGAAACACATACAGACAAATTTCTGTCTCAAGTATGGTCAGAATCATTTTATTATTCTAAATCTATGGTGTATTATCTCAAAGTGCATGTTGTGATATTGCCATGGTTGTGAATTGTTAGGGAAAATATTGAAAGTCGTAACAAGTACCAGCACAAAAATTATTTAATTATGTTATGTTTCACAACACAAAATCATATATTGTAATCTCCTTTTAGAATACAACTAAAAACTTAAAGATTTTTTAGTTATTTATATTTTGTGATATTTGGAATTCATGCATATCTGTCATATGTTATTTATCAACAGTATAGACTATGATTAGTTTTGTTTATTACATATAAATTAAATAAATAAGCATTTTACTTTCTTCTGAAATTTTAATACAACACATTTTTAAAAAATTTCCACTTCAAACGTATTACATACAAACTTATATTTTTGATATTACAAGTTGAAATCACTATTGTACAATATATTCATATTTCTTTTCAGTTGGACGCCAATCTCACAGACTGCCAGTGATGGTATTTATCCATGGGGAATCTTATGAATGGAATGCAGGAAATCCTTATGATGGTCGCGTTCTATCTAGCTATGGAAACGTCATTGTAGTGACTATAAATTTCAGACTTGGAGTTCTTGGTATGTAAATTTTTATACATATGCTGGAATAAAATAATTTATATTATTTTATAATTAACATTGATCCTAAACAATAATTTCATCGCATTACTTGTTTCTTAAAACGATTTCTTATTTAAAGTAGTTTATTTTGTTAACTTTTTAAAATAAAACTTTTTGAATGTTTTGATATTTTGAATCCATCGAAAAAAATTTAGGATTAAAAAATAATGTCCTTATCACATGATATACTGTAAGTAAAACTAAAATGTATGGGTATTGTTTGATCAAATTATGAATTAGTTTTTGAAATCTCTTATATTTTCATTTGCTGGCTAACATTAATACTTTATCAAAATATTTAAAAAAGAAAATTATGCAAAAGCGAAATCATTAAAATGTAATTGTACATTACCTACAAAAAAAGATAGGTATTATTTACTACATTAAAATTAAAAATAATAATAATAATAAACTGAATGTTCCCGAGAAAATGCTTAGACATTTAGATTTTACACTAGCGTTTCTCAAACGGTTGAATGTGCCCCTGTGAGGGGGGGGGGTCTATGACTGGGGTGCAAGCATGTTGAAAAGTCAAAAACAAAATGTTATTCAAAAAATATTAGTTTTCTGAAAGTAAGCAAAATAAAAAAAAAAAAAAAAACGTCGGGACGAAATAAAAAATAAAATACACATTTACACTGATATACCATACTTATAAATGTATCAATACTGCAAAATGTGTATTTTATAATTAATTTAATACTGCCAACTTTTGAACAGCATTAATAATTACTAGTGACCACATAGGCTTGTCAAACATAAAACTGTATACAAAAATTCAACACTTATCTTTATTATTTGTACGGTTTATAATGAATCCCTTAACTGACGATAAAAAGTTACGCAATGCACTCTCCAATGCCACCGTCTTCCACGTAGGCGCGCATATGTGATGTATTGGGTGGAAGGGGGAATAAATATTTGCAAATCCTCTGAAATAAGTAAATCCTTTATAAACAAGGTCATTTTATTGCATTCCAAAGCCATCGGAATAATTTATGGATAGCAGTGAACAGAAAAGATCGTACTTTGGAACGACGTATATATATGTCCAGGATAACGTTTTACTGTGCGAGACGTATATATACGTCAGTGACACTTAAGAGGGTAAAATCGTATTGTCACATAAGTTTCAAAGTATAGTATTATTGAAGTCAATACATTGTTATAGTATGGAGGGGGCGATGAAAATTAAGATTGAATATTGGGTTGCCAGTACATAAACTCTATGAGAAGAACTGTTTTACACTTAATTTTAAGAGGAAGTAAACTGAAAAACATCTTGTTATCCTATGGATCATTTTAAAACTATGTTTGAATTCCAAATGAAATACATTTGAATAGCTTAATGGCTTACTTTAAATTTAACAGTAATAAATATTCTAAGCAATCCTCTCATGATATCCTTTCAATTTTTTCAATCTCTGTCAATTAATGTAGGAGTTTTCGAACATCTACTTCTTACATTTCTAGTTCTAAATCTTTCACCGTATTACGCATGAAAATGCAGAAAAGAAATGTTGATTTCTTTCTAATTCCTTAGGACCATAAGTTTACAATTGTGTGGCTTAAGTGTTGCATTTGTTAAAAATATTAATTTAAATGCAAACGATGACTTGCGTAAATATAATTAGTTAAAAATACTTAAATGCAGAAGGTAACACGGAATTATTTTAAACAAGACTCGGATAAAAGGACATATTTGGAGAGCTGTATAAATTATCTTTCTGATAAAAAAAAATTCCTTTTAACATATTTTGTAGATCATGATTGCACTATCTCGAAGGAAAGATATGGTGGTATATAGAATTGTATAAAAAAGCAATTATTAGCTGAATTTTCGTGTAAGAAAAATTCAAAAAACCTTATCCTAAAATTACTCGAATTCTGAGCAACGTAAAGGTCAAATCTGAATTGTTGAAAGAAACCCATTTGTTCGAAAGGCATCGCAGTAAAATTTAAGATGGCATATATAGAAAATAAAAGGTTTCACAAATGTGTTCAAAATGTTGAATCTGAAATTCTTAAAATTTGTGGAAACACACTGTAGAAAGAAAATCCCCCATTTGCATAAAACAACCTGAAAACAATCTGTACTTGATAAATGGCTTTTTGTGCTTTAATATTACTTTATT